TTGGAGGTGTATTCTTTCAGCCTCCTTTTGTCTGGGAAACTCCTTTTTTAATTGAGAGCTTTGCTGGATAGCATTCTCTTGGTTGGAGGCCTTTGTTTTTCATTACTTGTAGCATATCTTGCCATTCTTTTCTGGCTTATAATGTTTCTGTTGAGAAGTCAATTGCTAGTCTTACTGTGGCTCCCTTGTATGTTACTTCCAGTTTCTCCATTTGCTGCCTTTAAGATTCTGCCTTGGAATTTTACCATTTTAATTCTGATGTTCCTTGAAGTGCTCTTGATTGGGATTCTGTTTCCTAGATTTGTGTGACTTTTTCTCTCATCAAATTAGGGAAGTTTTCCATCATTACTTTGTCAAACAGGTTATCCCTTGCTCCTCTTCTTCTCCTTCTGGTATCCCTACTATATAGATATTATTACATTTCATATTGTCTTGCAGTTCCCTTAACCCCTCTTTGATCTTTTTGTGTCTTTTTCCTTATCTTGCTTTTTCTGGAAGATTGTTTTCTTCCTTGTCCTCTGGCTTGCTGATTCAATCCTCTGCTTCATTATCCTGTTTGATTCCTTCTACTGTGTTTTTCAGTTCAGAAATTATATTCTTCATGTCTTCTTTGCTCTTGTTGATTATTTCTATTTCCTTTTTCATGCGGTTATAGTGTGCAGTAAATTCCTCACTGTTTCCCTGCAATTTTTGGTAGTTCTCAGTGAGCTCATTCAGCTTCTTTATAACCTTTGTTTGAAGTTAATATCTGATAGCTGCTTTACCTCTACTTTGTTCAGTATTTATTCTGAGGATTCCTCATTTCCTTTCATTTCACGTTTGTCTTCCATTGTTTGTGAGACTCTTGTTTGCTTCTGCTTCTTAAATTGATCTCTTTTGACTCCTTGAGTTTGTAGTGTGAAATTCTATTGTAGGAGACCTGTGAGATTCAGAAGTGCAGTCTCTTTGGTCTCCTGAACTTGATGGTCTTGGGATGCCCCTTATGTTGGCCCTCTCAATGTAAGTTGTTGGGCCAACAGCAACTGTTGATTGTTGTTGGGTCATTCTTTGGTGGGTCCTTCCCTCCAGCTGGTTGACTGAGGGTCATTCCACCCACCACATGTTGTAGGTTGTTGCGCAGGTGCTGCCAGAACAAAACCACTAAGCTTGGGGAACAAACTAATATCTGTAAAAATATCCCCTCCCCCTACAATCTCAGTATCAACTGCAAATTAACCAGTATTAATGAGTGTAAAGAGATAAGACTATTATAAGAAAGGAGGGAAATAAACTATAGTATAAATTCTATTGACTTAATATGCACAATCTTGCTGGACAAGAAATGAATGTTAAAAAACTATTCAGGAAAGAAAATATTGCTAATCATGGAGAAGACCATAACGGGCTTCATCTTGGTAGCCTCTAGTATTTACCACTGCTTTTTCTTTCTGGGTCTGCCTCTAGTGATGTCAGATGTTGACCCCATTAGATCTTAGGCAAGCTGCTGAGACTGTCAGGGATCTACTGTCTTTGGCTGTCTCCTTCAGTTGTTCAACTAGTCATCTGCACTCAGCAGTCAGGCATAAGTCCCACATGGAGTGGCAGAATCCCTCCTGGGATTGGGACTATCATTTTCCCTCAGGGTGCTGCTGCCTGGAAGGGAGTAGTCTACTGAAGCACAATGCCTGCTACTGTATGGGGGATGACTCAGCACTGGGATCCCAGTGTCTCTCAGCTCTCTCCCCAAAGCTCCTATGCTCAGTCTTTCCTCAGGCATCTCTATTCCACTCTGCCCCACCTTTTCCAAAGCCCTGGGTAAGTGGCGGCAAATGAAAATTTGTGCGTTGGTCCTTTAAACGGCTTTTTGTGTCTCTAGCCCTCCATCTCTGGCAGAGAGCAACCCCACTGCTTTTCATTGTTCATTGACATCCATGTACTTTTTGGGTTCTGGTGCTCTAGGCTGGGGATCCTAGCTTACAGTTTAGACCCCATTCTTCTCAGGGGGATCCTACCAGCCACTTTATTATCCCTATGGCACCACCACCTGTGAGCATCCAGCCAGTCCTCTCGAGTGTCCACCACACTCCTTACCAGTTAGTGCTGAAGCTGACTATTCTATCTGTCCAAGGTTATAAAACTTCTCTCTCGTTATTCAGTTGTTTGTTCTGAGTGATTTCTCCACAATATAGTTGTAATTCTGGATTTAACCTTTTTAAAAATAATTTAGTTTCAATTACAGTTGACATACAATATTATATTAGTTTCAGGTGTATGACATAGTGATTACATATTTATATAACTTACAAAGTGATCACCCATCCAAACCATACAGACTTATTACAATATTATTGACTATATTCCCTATATACTATATTCTATATTGCCAGGAATGTTTTTATAACTAGCAATTTGCACATCTTAATCCCTTCCCCTTTTTCACCCAGTCTCTAATGATCCTGCCTTCTGTCAACAATCAAAATGTTCTCTGTATGTATGAGTTTGTTTCTATTTTGCTTGTTCATTTGTTTTAAAGATTCCACATATCAGTGAAATCACACGACTTTTGTCTTTCTCTGACCCCTTGTACTTAGTATGATACTCTCTAGAACTATTCATGTTATTGCAGATGGCAAGATTTCATTCCCTTTTATAGCTGAGTCTTATTCCATTGTATATATGTACAACCATTGGACACTTCGATTATTTCCATATCTTGGCTATTGTAAATGTTTCAATGAACACAGAAGTACATATATCTTTTTGAATTAGTTTTTGGATTTCTTCTGGTAAGTACCCTGAAGTGCACTTGATGGGTCCTTCTTTGTCTCATGTTATAACTTTGTTTTAAAGTCTATTTTGTTTGACATATATATTACCACCCAGTTTTTTTTCAATTTCCAAATGAAATACCCTTTTCCATCTCTTTCAGTCTATCCTTTAAGCTATCTTTTGATCTGAAGTGGGTCTCTTTGTAGGCAGTATATGTGTGGGTCTTGTTTTCTTATCCATTCAGCCACCCTATGTCTTCTGACTGCAGCATTTAACCTATTTACATTTAAAGCAATTATTGATTGGTATGTCATTATTACCATTTTATTACTGATATTCCTATTCTTCTTCCCTCTCCTCCTCCTCTAACAATACTGGTTTGGAGGTGGTGATCTTCTTCAGCTTTTCTTATCTCAGAAGCTATCTATTTCTCTTATGAGTCTAAATGATAGCTTTCCCAGGTAGAGAAATCTTGGTTATAAGCCCTTGCTTTTTATCACTTTGACAGTTCTGTGCCATTTCCTTCTGGCCTGCAAAGTTTCTGTTGAGAAATCAGCTGCCAGTCTATGGGAACTGTTTCTCTTGCTGCTTTTAAGATTCTATGGCTTTAACCTTTGCCATTTTAACTATGCTGTGTTTTGTTGTGGGCATCTTTAGGTTCATCTCATTTGAGACTCTCTATACTCCCTGGACATGTATGTTTATTTCCTTTACCAGGTTAGGGAAGTTTTCAGGCATTATTTCTTCAAGTAGGTTCTCAATCCCTTGCTCTCTCTTTTTGTTCTCATACCCCTATGATGAAAATGTTGTTACACTTGGTGTTGTCCCAGAGGTTCCTTGAACTCTCCTCATTTTTTTTTAATTCCTTTTTTCACTGTTTTGATTGGGTGTTTTCTGCCCTCTTGATATCAGCACAGAGCAAGGATTTGTGTTTTGCTTTGTAAGACAAAAGCATATTCTAGCTCTTCACTGAAAACTAGAAATTACTAACCTCATGATAATGAGTGCCATGGGCATTACACAGCATCTGCTTCTCACAGTACCTGACTCCCACCCTCCTGAGGCAAATCTTATTTTTAATAGTCTAGGTACAGAGATTATACACACTATTCCACACCCTGCCCTTTCACTCAACAATATTATCTTAGAACTTGGCTCCTACTGCTATACATTATCATTTCATTAATTTCATTGTCTACCTAGAATTCCACTACCAGTATTTTGCTATTACAATCTGTGTGTGTGTATATACACATTTATATATAATTTATAAATATATTTATATAATATTAAAAACTCTATATATACATGTATAACATATATTACTCGAAGGAAATTACCATACAGATACTCATATTGTTCATAGACAAATATAAACAATACTTAACTATATAAGTTATATATTGTAATTATGAAAGTGATACTTTATAAATTATAAACTACTGTTTATACAAACAATATCAATATCTGCAAAAAAATTTCTAGAAGTAAAATTGCTAGCATAATGACCACTCCTCCTTGAACCATGTATTCCAACTAACAAGAACGAATGATCTGAAGTCCCCAGTTAAAAGCAAGACTCTTTCATGCTCTTGTAAATGCTGTTCCCTCTTCCTCTAACGCTCTCTGCTGCCACTCTAATTAGATATGAGTTCCTGTTATTCCTGCAGGAATTCAAGTGTTACCCTCTGTGAATCTTTCTCTTACACATTCTGTATATTCATAGGCCACCTGCAATACCCAAGCAGACCTAAGACACCTTCTTCTAGGTTCTCACTGCATCCAGTTAATGATCACTCTGCACGGTAACTGTCCACACAAAACAAACCTATCCCACCACTATATATTCCTGGAGAACTAGGGCCTCTCTTTTCATATATGTAATTCCACCTAACAATATTTCACCAACAACTGAATGGATAATATTAGCCCAATGATATAATGTATAGCTAAATGGATGAAAGAAGGGAAGAAGGAAAGAAGGCCTTCAGCTTCCTTCTCCATCCTAACAATCATTTAACGACCAACTTAATGACGCTAATTCCAGTATCCAAATTCTTCTATCAAAGAGGACAGATATATCTTCTCCACACCCAGCACAGGTTCTATATATACTTTATTTTTACTGAATAAATAAAATATCTTTAGAGGGTATCTATCATTGAGGCATGCTGCAACAAATACTCTACAGTATGAATCTAAAAGAGAGCTTCATCTGAGAACCACTATTTTAAGTTATGAAAATAACTTACCAGTTACCTGCAACTGTAACCTTCCACTATGGTTATTACCAGTATCAGACCTTGGTGAAGCAGTGGCCATGTCCCACAATTCAGCTTAAACCTATAAAAAATTTCAATTTATTCATGTGTTAAACAAGAGATTGTAATTTTCAATATGATTAAAACTAGTTAAATTAAGAAACCACATTTGATACAATATTTTCAACCCATCACATGCCGATATATTGAGCTATCCACCATTTGAAATTAAGACTCAGTACTATAAGTATTACTAAGCATTACAGACAAATATGGCCAATAAACCATATCTGAGTCAATGTGAACAAAGTATACCTGGTGATGTGTCGATTTATCTATGTATCACATATTATAATGTTTATGTATATAGGAGGAGGGACCCCAAAAACCCTAAGAATTATTTTCTGGAGGGCAGGCCACTTGTAGTATAGGCTTCCCCTGCTAAGTGAATATTCTAGGAACCCATCTGTATCAGTGTACCAGCTGGTGGTGTTGTGAGAGGTTACATTTGGCTTCAGTGAATTTTTTTTTAAGACTCTTTCAACACATTTATTTGCCTGTTTCATGATGGGTGATTTATAAATGTACCTACCCGCATCGTGCTAAATGTTTGACAGTTTTGGACCAAAACTGGCATGACCCCATATCCCACCCTCCCTATTCACCAACTCTTACCCCCAGAAACACATTTTTAGTTTCCACAATGAAAAGTCCTCAAAGGGAAACATTTTGCTGATGTGGAAAAGGTGAAACAAAAAAACAACAGAAGCACTAAAAGGCATCAAAACTGACAAGTTCGAAAACTGTTTTGAGCAGTGGACAAAATGTCTCAACAGGTGTACTGCATCAAATGGAGGGTACTTTGAAGGTGACTGAAGTTCAAACATGTAAGAATAAATTCACAATTTTTTATAAATAAATTCCAGTTTTTTGGGGGGGTCTCTCTTTGAATGTATTATCTGAGCTACCCGAGTAGCTTGCCCCTTTACCCTTTAATATTTAGTGTGTATTTCCTAAAAATAAAAATATTATCTTAAATAATGACACTACAATGATCAAATTCAGGAACGTAATTAGTATATTACTATTACTTAATATATGTTCTACTTCATCAACTGTCCTCACAAAAGCCCTTTATTATTAATTTTATTTTTATTTATTTATTTATTTTTTAATGTTTTATTTATTTATTTTTCGAGAGAGGGGAAGGGAAGGAGAAAGAGTGGGAGAGAAATATCAATGTATGGTTGCCTCTTATGTGTTCCCTAGTAGGAACTGGCCTGCAACCCAGGCATGTGCCCTGACTGGGAATCGAACCGCAATACTCTGGTTCACAGGCCCGCGCTCAATCCACTGAGCTATGCCAGCCAGGGCTATTAATTTTATTTTTAAATGAAGAAATCGGATCAAGTTTCTTGATGCCATTTCTTTCTTTTTTTAAGATTTTATTTATTTTTTAGAGAAAGGGGAAAGGAGAAAGAGAAGGAGAGAAACATCAGTGTATGGTTGCCTCTCACATTGTGGTCCCCTACTGGGGACCTGGCCTATAACCCAGCAATGTGCGCTGACTGGGAATTGAACTGGTGACCCTCTGGTTTGCAGGCCAGCACTCAATTCACTGAGCTACACCAACCAGGCCTTCATCACTACTTTTAAATATAGGGTCTAGTTAGGGTCTAAATGCTACATCAATTGCATGTCCCCAGTAAATTTAGCATGTTTCTTTTTATTTTCAAGATATTTTTTCAAGTTCTATTTCATTCCTCCACCCCAACTTTCACTTTTAGAATAAAATACAAAACAAAGCTACTTACTTCATCTTTCTTCTGCATGACAAATACTTTAAGGCTAAACTTCCATCTACCCTTAACCTACTGGTAAAGTGGAACATTCTAGTCAAGATCAAGAAATATTAATATTAATATCTGTCTTATTATTCCCTGCTTTTAGTGTTTTCTATTTAGAGCCTTCTCCAAATTTAGGGAGCCAATACTCTAAAAGGTACATTATACCTTTTTCACTTATTCATGATTGCCCATATTATATATCTATGTGTGTACATGAGCATGTGTTTGTGTGTGTGAAAAGACAACAGAGACAGCTACTCACTATTTGAGTAACTGAGTTAATTAATATGTAGTCTAGTCACAGGTTCTGGAACTTCATTCAGGCCCACTCATCCTGCAGATTAGCAAATGGGCTCCAGGATGCCATCTATATGCAGGTATACCAGTTGCCTTCTTCACATAAGCAAACCAAGGGAAATGGTAGCTCTGGAAAATCAATGAACATGAAGAAAAGCAATGGACATTGAGGGGTTTTAATCTGTAGTAATCTGATATATGCACGGTCTGGCAAAAGTAACGCTTGCTTGAGTGTGGGTGGTAGAGTAATATGGAAATAATAAATAATCGTTTCAATTTGAACATTTCACCTAAAATGTCATATAGTGTGCTTGAGTATGACATTGTTATGTTATGAAATGACATGCTAATGATTTTATAATAAGAGGTTTTGAAATAAAAAAGGGGTATTACTTGTGTCAGATCTTGCAGATATTTTGAAAGGTCTTCCTACAGATCCTGGATAAATGAAAATCAATGTACTTTTCAAACAGTTATGTTCTCAAGAAATTATTAAGAATACTTTTAGCCATATAATGGTAGCCAAAAGAAAAAAAATCTAAAAAAATGAGTTGATAGAGCAGAGGAAATAGGGAGCAATAAGCAAAAACAAATTGATTTAAGTGTTGTCCTGGATGTGCATGCTGGTAGTAGCACTGGGATCAGGAGACAGAGCACTAGGCCTGCTGCAGGGTGAGGGCTCAGGTCAGCAGGAACTCTACCACATAGCAGAAACATAGATGCATGCTCAGAAAAGCATCCCAGAGGAGAGGGAAGATGGCCATGGAGTAGGAAGGAGCGGATTCCATTTTCCCATACACATGGGAGAGAATCCTGGCCTACCTATGGAAGAACAGTGCAAACAGCCAACAGTTCCCCAGCATATATGAAAATAAGAGACCAGAAATTGTAATGAACGTGAAAAAAACAGATGGTAAGGAGACAGCTGCAGGTCAATTGGGTCTCAGGGACCTGAGCAAAGACAAGAGCAGCAGCGGCCTTGGCCAGTGCAGAGTGGCCTCAGCCGGCAACCAGCACCCAGCACCCAGTGCATCTGCCAGTGACTCCTCGAGAGCCCAAGCACCCGGCAGATCTACGGCAGACTCTTTGGGAGCCTTGGGCCTGCCACAGGGTCCTTGGGAGAGAGCTGGGTCATCAGCTCCCTCCCTCCCAGTCTAAGCAAGGCTGGGCAACACTGGGCAGAGACCTTTCTGCTTGAGTTTACAGAGAGGGTAATAAGGACAAAGGGCTGTATTCAACCACAGAGTCTGTGGTCGCCAGCCTGGGAGAATTGAGAGGCGCATTGTTGGGCTCTGACTCTGATAGTCACCTGTCTGGCTGGGAGATTAGAATGTGCTAAGAGGCAGGCTTTCTTGAGAAATTTTTTGGAAAGTAAACTGAAGGATTCTTCTGTGACAGCCACTTGTCCTGCTCCCCACCCAGCCTGGCAGCAATCCAGAGGATGGACGGTGGCCCTTGAGTTCCCCCACAGAACCGGAAGGACCGTGCCAGATCCTGTGGGACCTGGACAGCCTGGCTGGCACTCGTGGCCACACCCTAGGACACAGTGAGGACCCCAGGAGTAAGTGTCTGAATAGAACCTAGACCCCAGTTTTGGGGCACTGGGGAGAGGTGCCAGGTTAGCTCTTCCGAGAGTGCTCTCAAAAACCCCACAGGAATCACCCCTCAGCACTGCAGAAAATAAAACCAGTTTGGCCAGTTTGAAACCACCAAGAAATGTTTTGTTTTGTTTTGTTTTTAAGTCATCTTGTATCTTTTAAATTTTCTTATTGTTTTATCTTTCAATACTTTTTCCCTCTCCTTTCCTTTTTACCTGTTTTATTCCTTCTTCCTTCCTTTCTAAACTTATCGCTTTTCCCTCCCTTTTCCTACGTTTTTTATTGTTTTTTTTGTTTTGTTTTTCTTTTACCCACAAGGGACACAAACAATTTGGAACTGGGAAAAGACCAGCGTTGGACCCAAAGACAGGACATCCCAACACTAGAGACAAAGAGACAAATTTCACTATGTTATAGCAGAGAAGCCACAAGTTGCTGTTTATTTGTATTATTATTTTTTCATTACTGTCATTTCTTTTATATTTGAATAGTATCTTCATATTCCTCCTCTTTCAGTATAGGCTTCTTTGCCTTGTGTGGTTATATTGTATCATTTGACAGTTTTCCCCTGTTCTCTCCTCCACAGTGTATTGCCAATTTTTACACTTCACGCCACTTGTTTTTGTTTAGCACACTACCCAAAGCTCTATACCCACTATTCATGTTATCCTAACCACAGAGTCTGTCATATGATTCTTGCTCTAATATTATTGTAAATAATACCTGTTCTATAATAACTATAAATACTTCACAAAACATCTCACAGATCTTAGCCCACTTCACAGTTTCCTGAACTCTATTACTGTAGTGATTAACTCTACTTGCTCACTTACTAAACCTATTTACTATCCGTTATTCTCACCTTGCCTCAGGATCTGACCTCCCGAAAACTCGCAGCTTTCTATATTTGACTCACAAGACTTCCCTCCCCAACAAGAGACTTATCTTTTCTCCATCCTTTCTTAAAAGTGGCAAGTTAGGTTGAAGATTATGGTTAACACTATATATAGCCTAAAGATCTTCTATGTCTTCCCTACCGGCTGTGACTGCACATACCAAAAAATACTCTTCTGCTGTCATAAACCATTTTTTTACCTCCCTTCCCACTGATAAGATTAAAAAAAAAAAAAAAGGAGTAGGCGGAAGTGGAGAACACCAGGATATCCGAAGGAGAACACCAGGATATCCGAAGGAGACTGCACCACTGAATTTCACAGGTATACTACCACAGAAGTTCAAACCATAAACCCAGGGAGTCAGAACAGATCACTTTAAGAAGCTGAGGCTAACAGGAAGATAAACAATGGGAAGACAAAGAAACAATTCCCAAATGAAAGAAA